GCAAAGTCATTGTCGCGACCTTGCCATGGCTATATACAGTTGCGGAAAAGAAACGCCGCTGACGTGACCGTGAAATCCAAATTCCGCGTGACCAATGCCCCTTTTGTTCTTATCGGCGATTCATACAAATGGGAATGATATATAACTTGGGTAAGTTGGCCATCATGCGAAGTAACAGAGACTTCGCGTGCATCAAAGACTATTTTTTTTTTTTTTTTTTTATTTATTTATTTTTTTTTTTGCAACTCCCCGGTTTTGCGAGAAAGCAGTTTGTTCTACTGCCATTATATCCGCACAGCTCCGGGAAAAAGGATGCGCGCACGCGTAATCCAAGCCGTGTCTGGCCTCAGTGTCGCTCGTCTCTTTTTTCTTTTCTTTTCTAAAATATAAGATAATAACAATAAAAATAATGCCATATCACCTTTCAGCGCATGCCAGCTCCGGATCGCATATTATGTGCCAGCACAAAAGAACATTCTTTCAACACATACACATACACACACACACACACACACACACACACACACACACATAAAAAAAATTAAAAGTCACGCATACATGAATAGGTGTATACAAGTAGGTAATGTAATATCTAATTGTTCGAGCGACAATTTATTTGTCTCGGTGATCCTCCCTCCGTCTCACTTTTCGCGAGGCGTTTTAGAAAGCTCTGATAACAAAGTGCGCCTACACATCACAATGGGTTGATGAACAACCGAGACTCACCGGACTCTACGTGTACATTCATTGATTTTCATCGCGGTACAGCTCGTCGAAGGAAAAACAACCTCTCCCCCTCCCTGATAATTGTATGCATGCGCGTACATATACCTTTTTTTTTTTTTTTTTTTTCAACACAGGATCGTACAAGGTTGTACAAAAGATCGACCCAAGCGCAGCGAATCTCGGATTTTTCCGATATGAAGGTAAAACTGGCGTGTACACCTACATACATACATACGAGCGTGCTCTCTCTCTCGCGCGACCGCGAGATAAGGCGCGCGTGGCCCGTTTAGTCGTTGCCGTTGTTTTTTATCCGTCGCCGGCGTTTATTCGCCCTATTAGAGATGCGTATCAGATGATTACACTCGGCGCGCGGAGCCCGAGAGCAATTAACCTCTTCTCCCCTCCTCCCCCCCCCCCCGGCACGGCAAAAGGTTGCCTCGTCCTACAAGTATAATATAGTGGCTTCGCGACGGAACGAAGCCGAAAATAATTTTTCGATTTTTCCGACTATACAATATAACTGTATTTATACATATTAAATACGGGGAGCCATGGTATAGAAGTGTATATACACACAGGAGGGGAGCAAACAAGAGCAAAAAAAGTCTCCTCCGTGAAAGGCTAAATCGGCCGTCAAGGACTCCTTCTTCGAGGCACGGATTTTTATCTCCCTCTTACTGACTGCAGTCCGCGCGTGTGTGCGAGGGGGGGGGGAAACAAGTTGCCGAAGGCTCGAGTGCGACCAGCTGCCGAAATCTCGGAGTGTACATAATATAATATACACACAAGAGTGTGGAGGTGCTGGCAGGTGTCGAGGATGTACATGCATCTGCTGGAGCACTCATGCCTGCCAAAAGCGAAGAGCAAGCAAGTGTACGTAATATGCTTACAAGCTGAGAGTAATGTACTCTTCGAGGACCGGACGGCAAGTGGCCCTCGAGAGAGAGAGAGAGAGCCCAGTAAGAGGGAGAAACCGAGAGGGTGTTTATATGCACCAGGAAGAAGAAGAAGAAGAATGAGAACGAGATTGGCCCGGAACAGAGCAGCTGGGCAGTGATGGGTTTTTCGTGTATACCTATAATGCATTTGTTTGCGAAAAACGCAAGCGCTTTGGTCTAACATCACCTGTTGGGACTCTGTGTATAGGTATACACAATAGCGGAAACACACGGAGACTGGGTACTCACACGCCTCGAGAAATAATAGAGCATAGCAGCCGGCTGGTAAGTTTTGTTCGTTTTGTTTTTTTTTCTTTTCTTCCTGTCCATCGGTGCACTCTTTCGCGCGCACAAAGTGTCTCGGCGGTGAAAGACGGCGCTTTTCGGATCGAAAATTACCGCGCGTCGAGCCTTGGTATAAAATAACATATACCTATATAGGGTATATATTATGTACAGCAACACGTGCACGCGCGGCTTGGAAAGTTTTTTTTTTTTTTTTTTTTATCATCACGCGAGACCGATGTACCCGCCATATTATAGCCGCAGCGAGCGGTGTTAATGATAAAGACCGATACTGTACTACACGCACGCAATCACGGGAGCCCGAAGAAGAAGAAGAAGAAAGTTGTTGTAATTAGAAATAATTAAAAGTTTCACCCTCCCCCCCTCCCCCTCTTTACACCATAGAATCCATGTAATAAATATAGGCTGGTGCACACTTTGGAAGAAGAATGGAGAAAAAAGAATAAAGTAGCTCTATTAATTTCGCATCGATATCGCTGTGTGTACCCTATTATAGTAAGTGAGTGTATATTATGTAGGAGGCAGTGCCGCTGCGCTAATGGAAGAGAGGAGAAGCCGAAAGGGGCCTTGCTGCGCTATACCCGCGTGTGTTATGTATAGCTATACACATAAAGTTCTGCAGTGCAGCGGATGCATATGGCACGGCTGTTGCAGCACCGCGATAAGAGCCGTTTAACGTTTATCGGCTGTACCTACTCCTCGTGGTCCCTCGAAGCACACCAGTGCGACTCAACTGCAGAAATAACGCGGTGGTATAGATTGACTGCTAATGCGCGAGAAGGAACATATGGTTACTGCGCTGTATACAGGTATTGTATGTTACAAGTACCTACGACACACGTATATATAATGCATATAAAGTTTTGCGGTTGCGCTGAGACGAGGTACAGGTACCTATAGAAGTACACCTTATATAATATATACGTACTTATCGTTCCTGCCACTCATTCCGTAGGTACCCTATGTTGGTGCAGTTACATAGTAACTAGAGGTGAACAACTTCATTCGCGCGTGCATGCATCGCGATGAACGTAACCGAGAGCTCCGTCCCGGGGTGCACTTAATGAGGTGTCGCTAACTCTTATAATATATATATACTCTGACATGACGGTTACGCTGCGCACTTGCACGCTCTCTCTCTCTCTCTCTCTCTTACCCTCTCAGTTTTATCTACATGTAACTATCTACACGTGCATTTTATTAGTATAAGGTACAGAAGGATGTGTTTACTTTCGCGCTCCTCGAGATTTTTCGCTAATCAAGTATAAGCACTTACCCGTACACATAATTATACAGGTAGTGTGCCGGTGGTGTTGTTGTTTGGCTCTCGTTTCTATGAATCGGACACTTGGCCGAATGTCTTTGCTCTTTTTACGGCACACCCAGACTATACTTAATGACACTTTTTGCGTGTACAAAAAGTAGCTAATTCGAATGGGGAATTTATTGAAAAAAATCCCCATCGTATAATAAAACTAAAATCAAAAAAAAGCAGATACAGTGTAAAACTAGGATATCATATTAAAAGTAGTTGGTCAGGTTGAAAAGCATATACATATATATATAGACGGTTGCTGCACTTGCGCGGGCAACAGCGAAAATGCCAGTATAATTTACGGGCTCGATGATGCAGAAGGTCGTACGGAAATCTATTTATCCGATTGAGTGGGCGTCTCGAGTTATTATAGGTAAACATAATATACTTGCGACATGTATAGGTATATATGAGATCGTAGCCAATAGAGACAGTGGTCGGTCGGTCGGCTTTTCTGCCACGTCATTTTGGCGGCTGGTTGGCCTATGTGCGCAACGCACCTCGCGATCCCATCCGTATGCGTATTGTATTGCACACTCACGAGGCGTCCTGCAAGAAGGAGCAAAAAGTCGCGGGTCGCGGGGATACATATTTATGGATAGGTATACCTACGCGCGACGGCGTCATGGGAAAGAGCAAAAAGAGGGAGGAGAACAAGCTAACGGAACGTAATCGTCCGGCTGAATCGGCCATCCGTATGTATGTATGTTAGGTACGTGTGCTCGTCCCAACCATGAACTATTGAACGAAACCGGCACGGTCACATACTATCACGTGAACACATACATCTCTATACGTACCTATGCGTTTTGCAGTATGGCGTGTAATGGTGTCTTGGTTATCTACACGTGAAACCATGCCCAAAGGGGTTTGCTGGATGCTACTCATACATGTATATACATATTGTGGTCGCATCGGTAAAATCCGCTAAGGTCGCGTCTATACCAACTATATATATACGCGTATTTTTCTTATTACCTGTTACCCACCACCCTAGCTCCTACATTCTTATAGGTATATATAATACAGTGCTACACATTCGTGCGCCAAGTGCCCCATTACCATCAATTGCTTTCTTTTCTTTTCTTGTCGGGTGTCTTTGTACCTGTTGCCTTATATAAATACAAGTATATGTATGCTTATCTATTACCATTGTGGTGCAAACATTGCGTTACGTGTCTTCTTCTTGACGGTTGTACGAATTTTGTTACCGTTTAATGGAAAATTCGCTACAGGTAATATTATGTGACAATTGGTGTTGGTCTGTATAGTAGGGGTGTTGAGCGATTGAACAAACGGAGCCTGAGGGCAAGAAAAAGGTCATGCATGGTTTGGACTTATCGGTATAAAAAAATGCCAAATTAAGTAGGATTCGCCGACTCGAAAGGCATTACTTCTTCTTTTCTACAGCGAAATCGAGCGAAACAAAATAAAGTCCTTTAAATCAAGAATTTAATTTACGTCCCAACTCGTGCGAGTCGTCTCTGTAGGATTCAACGTATAGGGACGAGAAACAAATACGTTTTTCCAAAGCAATTTGGGCTACATATACACACAAATATACGGCACGGGGTAAATAAAAGAAGGTCCGCATGGCTCAATGATTTCATTTCGCTTAGGGATGTTAAGCCATACAGAGGGTATAATATAAAGTGTGGCCAACAAATTTCGAAGGGGTTAAAGTAAACGGAATTTTTCTCTTTTTTTGCTTACAGAGTCCTGGGACGCTGCACAAAGATGGTGGTGGAGGGACGAAAGTTAGTGGAAAGTCAGTCGGCGGGGTCGGCTCTGCGACCCTCACCTCCCTCTCGTCCATCGCCAACTCCACGAACGTCAGTAGAAACAAAAACGCCCCAATCTCGCATCGCGAGGTAAGAATAACAAACTCTTTTTTTTTTCTCTTTATCTCCCACCCTATCAGCGGTCTCGCTCCATCTCCCCTTTTTTTTCACTTTAGCAACCAAAGCTCATGGCCTACAAACGAAAGCTAAATAAATCCCCTGCGAAAAAAATACAACAGAGATAAATCTTCGATTCGCCCCGACAGCGGTATATGTATATGTATACCAACGTCGGACTGATGTAGATAGTCATTTGTAGGCACCGATTTGGCAAAAGGAGATCTCAATCGGTCCCGATTGGGAAGCCGCCTGCGGTACAATAGAGATCTCTATTCGCCATAAACAAGTACACATGGGTACAACAAACGCGTATATAACATAGCGGTGCACTGCACAACCATATTATATATAGTTACGCCTATACGTATAGGTATAACAACACGGCTGTACCAAAAGCGTATCAATCAATCTATATCGACGGCGTGACTTTTGAAAATATTAATTTCTCGGCGAGGCGTTATACACTAACGCGTCCCGCGGCACGTGTAATTGCCGTTAAAGTGAATCGTGGCCATAAAACTCGGGTCATCGATGTAACGTCATATGTACGGTCCGTCGAGCGAAATAATGTATTATGATTTATCTAAATTGTCCCGACGAAAAAGAAACAGCTACACGTAGATATAGGTATACGCACTGCCACAGTTATGGTTACTTTTTTTTTTTTTTTTTTTTGCACTAACGGAGCCAAAGCTCAATGTACGAGAGAGCCGTAGTCGATGGTCAATTTTGTTCGTGGGTATAATTACAAACAATCAGCCGGAGATGTTTCCTCAACGCGATAATAATTATATACGTGTATACGTGTGCGTGTACTCATACATATAGGTAGAGGTGCACGTATGCGCCAAATAACCAACTACGCGATTCCCTTGCAACGGAATTTTTTTTAATCCTCTTTTCTATGGATGAACTAGACCACGCGTCAGCGGTTCTCCGTACCATTGTACGATACGATGCAGCTAGCGGTCACGTTTGAGCGGCGAGAAAAAAAAAATAACACTACATCTCTCAGCCTGGCTGACATCCTGCCGATCGGAGTCGCTCTTTCGTGCGATACTATGGCTTATCTCTAACTGGAGTTGAAAATATAGTGACCGCCTTTTTTCTTTTCTTTTTTTTTTTAAAGCAGATATTATGTAGTACAGGCATACAGCTTTACCAAAACATATAACTGTATCTCTCGTATATATCAGAAGCAGGGGGACCAGCACGCAGTTACGGAATAACGCAACCATGCATATATATATAGGCACAGAGGGAGCACAATATTTTGAAAGTATAACTTGTTCCGTTTAGTTGTGGGTTTGGCTTGTAGACGTCAGATATTATACTCCCATTCCTCGAGGCTTATACATTATAGGTTTTCAGTATCTTTGTAAGTACAAAACTCGTTGGGCATTGGTTTTCGTTCTGTAACATTAAAAAAAAAAAAAAAAAATGTCCTCGAAAGGACTCAATTTATCAGCTAATATTTTCAACTCGTGACACGAGAGCGAGGATGTTGTTGCCCATCGAGTTTTAAACGCACCATACATTAGTATATTGGGGGAGAAGAGGAGCTTGTCCTACGGATACAAGTATAACATCAAGGAGAGAGGACCACATGTGTATACATATATAGCTCTACACGCACGCGAGACGAACCTCCCGTTCCGCGCGAAAGTATTTTATTTTCTTTTCGGGGTCGGAAAGTTTTAACGCGCAATTTAACGGAGAAAGTCCGGCCCTCTCCTTTGATAAATAATAAATTGAACCCTATATATTATTTATCTTTTCCCATCCTCTCTGTATATAATATACAACACGTAAAACACCCGGTGTTTATATAATATATATACACAGAGAAAAATGATGATGACACTCGGCCGATTTCGAGGAAGCGGGGCCGTCGTATCACCAGAGAGTTCGGCCGCAGTACGATACACACGTGAGTCTGTATAACATCGGCGCTCCGAAATCGTTAACCCACTTTGGAGTAGAGCATATATATACATCGATGCACCGCCTCATCTTCCGAGGATGCGACGGCCCATATATGCGATACGGCCGATCCAGTTTCCTCCTCTGGCTCCTTTCTCAGCTCAAACTTTTCCCCCCTGTGCGGCTCTGTTGTTATTCACAGGGGCACCTATATATACTTATATATATATCAGGTGGAAAACAAATTTTACGACTCGGGGGAACAAAACAAAAATAATAATAATCCTACGGCGATTTCTCCTTGTGGGTATTGTTTGAAAATGGCTTAATGGCGGACACTTGCAAAGATATAATACACGTGCACGCGCGCACAATGATATAAAAGAAGCGTGTGTGTAAACATATATATATATGTGTATATTATAAGGTACAGGTAGTAGTCGCTCGCTCTCGGCGCGCAGTTGAAAAATGAAGACACGAGAAATAATGGCGGTATCGATCAAGCGCCGAACGGACGGAATATGGCCGATCATTATAATTATCTTCATCTCTCTCTTTGTCTCGGCCTGGGCATATGGTATACGATATGTTCTCAAAACAAAACCTCGGGGTTTCTTCTCGCCTGAATTGCGTGTACGCGCGCGCGCTCCTCGGCCGGAAAACAAATAGGTGTACAATAACGAGCCCTTGCCGTTTAGATCGCGGGAGCGACTGTTGCCGGGGATCGGCAGGGTTTTACCCGCGTTTGGAGATCCGAGTCGAGACGTACGGCTGTGTTGTGCTTGGGCCGCGCAGCTGATGCGAAACGAAGGATCGGTCTTTGAGCTGAACCCAAAACACACGTATACATCATCGTCTCAGCTGCTCTTGCGTAATCGTGCAATTAGACGCGTAGAGAGCCACTGTGCACTTTCTAAATTCGCGTACACGTCGTATGAGTATATAACCAACGAATTAGCCGAGGGACAATTCCCCTGAACGAAGGACTTTCTGCTCATTAGGGTCCGTCGGCTCTCCTCGGCGAGATGGACCGATAGGGAGTTTGTATGGAACCGTCGTCGTCGTCGTCGTACGCTCTTTTCCGGTGTAGGTATTTATACATACGCATCAGCCTCCAGAATATCCTTTGTACTACAATCACAGTAGGCGAGAGTCCAAATAAAACGGGGAGAGTGATGTTTTTATTTTTTTAATCGGTGGAATGTATAATGTAAGATGGTCTGTGGAGCTTGGCGAACCGCCGGATGAATATCGGATAATTTACGCAAAAAATCGGTGATCGGTCCTCGCACAAATTATTATCTCCTGCCGATCCGTCGCGGCTCTTTTTGTTTTGGAATTAAACCCAACTGGATTGAGAGTAGTAGTTGTAACCGAGTGTGTGAGTGTGTGTGCTAACGTAACTTGTGGACTGCAGTCGCAGAGTATACTCCGATGGGCTGTGTGTATAGTAATACCGATACCATTGGCGTAAATTAGTGTATATATACCTATGATCGTGTCACTGATGCAAGACATGATCGCGAAACATCACTGCACACGTGCGCTCAAGCTGAACGAGCCGCGTCGCAGATTGCCGCTGCTGTTTTACAAATCGTCAAGCCGAGCCGTAATAGCTAGTTTATACATATATACGTATACATAATATATAGATATCGCCTGTGCAAAAGGCGCGTGTTACGTCGCTCTCGTGTCGACTCGACGATTTTTCCACGCTCGTGCACTTGAGACACGCTCGCAGATGTGATTTTCATATCGTATACGTATACATACCTATTTGCGTTTGGAAATAATCACCCCGTCACTCGATAATAATATTGCGCAGCCGCATCGATGTGTACCTATATGTTATTACGCTATAGAAAGTTCCACGAACGAGTGTGATTTGCAATTCGACGTCGCCAAGGACTCTCTCTATCTCTCTTATTTTTTCCAAGCGATTTGCACGGAGTGCGACAAGTTCAAATTATGATAATCGCTCGATAGCACGTAAGAAGAATCCAACGGTGTGCCCGCGGTTCCGACTCTCCGAATTACCTATAATAATAATTAAAATAATACAGTGCACACGGGGCAGTGTGCACAAATGCAGTAAAATAACGTACGAGCGGGGGCTCGTCGATCTTTCGCGGCTCTCGGCTGCGCTGGATATTGATTACGATAGGTGTGTGTGTATATACTTACCTGTGCACTCCAGCGTTGCTGGTCTACTCAATATACGATCGCGCCGAGGAGGAGCAAAAAGGGATGTATACATATATTATACATACGAACTGCCGCGGAAAATACTTTCCTCCGCTGAATTTTAACGAGCGCATTCGTTAGGCCTACTATCGCATTGTACCTATATATACATATATACATCGCACTGGCAGCCCAAGCCAAGAGGGAAGGTCATCGTGGAGCGCCGGTCGTTGACACTACCACCTATCCTCTCCTCCTACCCCCTTTCACGCTCTTACGCATGTGGAATTAACTTACACACATATGTATTATTACTTTTATCTACCTGTATGTGAGCGCGTTTGTTGTTGTCGTACAGTTGCGCTTTTGAAAAGTGCTTCAATCTCCATATGGTATGAGTACGAGTATATATATACACGCGCTTCGATTGACCTTTTGTTTTCCATAGATGGACCGTCGGACACTTGTAATTGATCCCTCGAATTTTATTTAGAAGAAAAAAAAAAAACAAATGAACAAAAAATTTTTTAACGTCGCGTTAATTGCTATAAAATTTCGAAATTGCAGCCTTAGAGGAGAGGAAAGGATATATGCTGGCGTTATCAAAAAATATATATATACTTTTACTGCTGTTGTATTTTGTACGATATGCCAAAAACACTCGGTTTACGGTTGTGCGTGTGTATATGTATATGTAGGAATAACGATAAGGGCTTTTTAATTATCAGCCGATAGCGTGTCAAGTTAATCCGACGGATCGAGTATGTAGGTATAAATATACATTATGTGCACCTATATAGATACCATGATAACGCGACAGGTAATAAATAATTGGCTTTAAACAAATTATAATCAAGCGAGTA